ATAAACAGAAAGAATAAAGCAGTACGAATCGGACTATATTACGTGTCTTTCAATTAATTTTGATCGCCTCATGCACAAGAAGTTACTTATCCAGCGTTACGTCGTAGTTCTTGCCGTCTTTCTTGGTTTTCCACGTCCTTCGTTTGTTCGACACATATATCACCCATGGTGGAAAGCTCCGACGCCGTGTTCGCGCTAACAGTGTCCGGCAGTGCACTTTAAATACATGTACGAAGCGGTTTTAGCACCGTTTTTCATGCCACGAATTTCAAATAAAAACGCCATAACTGGCCAATTATTTCGTCTGCGTGACTGAGAAATGTTCCAATGTGCCTAGTACGTACGAAATATTCGTGATATTTGCTCTTATAATCGAGCGCAGCGAGAAAATGCACTCGCTTTTTCCCGTAGAAATGCATTACCGGAAGTCAATTTCGGACTGGTTGCTGTCTGCTTCAATTTGCAGCAGCACACTAGCGCCAGTTGAACCTCTAGCGTACATTATAATAACTCTATGGACAAAGCTACGCGGACCGGCGGACCGCGGGAGATAACTTGCTCCGCGCACCATAGAGTAATATACACAAGGTAAAGAGCGGACACTGCCATACGCCTCAGCGGCCCAGATAGAGCAGTGACAACTAGCGCTCTTAGCGGACGGTATGAAACACAATCTGGTTCCGGTTCCGGTCAAGTTAGTTTCGGTTTCGGTTTGGGCATTTTTGTTTCGGTTTTTTTGGTACCCTTCTCCTTCTCTTTTTCTCTCTTTCTTTCCTTCTCGCCTCCCTCCTCGCTAGGCTCTCGGGAGCTCCTTGGCTCCGGAGCCGACGATTCTTTTTTTTGTTGTTGTTTTTATGTTATAAGTTTTGCAATATACGATATAAGTTTTGCAAAATGTGTAATGTGTCGAATAAAAGTTCAACTTATTGAACACATTGAAGTACATAATCGCCACATTGACTCCTGGCTGGTGGAGCATTTTGGGAGGTTTTGGGGTCAACAACAGTAAGTGGTTTGAAAACATTTTATTGGACCACATTCATATGTACATTTTTTACTTCAGAAGCTCTGTATGTTTTATAAGAAATAGATAATCACAAAAATAAATGAGTATGAAGGAGTTCGGCATATCGTACACTTCGTAATAGATTTTTAGCGGAGTCAAGTTTACAAAAGCTTTCCACAGGGAACATGCTGAATGATCCATTCACCTTCACGCCGACTCGGGCACGGTAAGTAAGTGCAGAAATAAACAAGACATCGCTATCATTACCAGGCGAAGCACACACCGGATAGTACAAATTCCAAATTACCGGCTAATATAAAACACACGAAATGGCATAGCCTGAAACTCGCTGCGGGTAAGCCATTACAAAAAAACAAAAAAAAAAACAATGAGAACTCTATTCGGAATCTGACAAGATTCAACCATAGATATTCAACCATGATTCAACGTCCCTAAACATTCCCCGAAATACATTTGTTCAGGACAGGAGTATTACTTCAGAAAAAAAAAACGTCAAAAAAATATAGACGGGTACAGAAGTGGACACATTTTCTTCCAAACATCTATGCCTCTATAAACTATTTTCTATAGAAATTCTGCAGAAAGTGGATAAATATTTGTGTAAGGGGGCCGTGATACACATTTCCTGGAAATAAAGAAAACACATGTTTGGAGTGCAAGCTACACTGCCCAATTAATAAGCAATTTCTGTTTTTGATTTGGCAACCGCCTCTGTTAATACGCTATTAAGCTATTAACAGTTAAACTTATCAAGTTGCTTACTAGCAACCGAAGAGTGTAACCGAACTTTGTCCAAGTTCCGGTTAAGAAACCGAACATGCCAACACAAGCGTATTCGGCAAAACATTTTTAAAAACCTTTTGTGACACTCCTCTGAGCAAAGGCTGAAACCACCCAGCTCTGAGAGTGTGTGATACAAGGCAGCACACACTCATCGAACATGCGCTACACTCTCTATTACGGCAAGAAAGTGATTTTCTAGTTTCTGAATAAAGTTAAAGGCAGCCTGTGATGGTACTACTAGGTTTCCGAAGAGTTTCCCAGGCACGTGGTATGCTTTAAGCATAAGACAATACTGGTGAGGCCTGGTCAAGTTGTCAGACTCATCCTTTAGCAGCTTAGAACAGCCACAGCTGCGGGTTGTCTGTTCAAGGAAAAGTTTGATCAAATAGCCTCCAACGTAGTAAGTGCACGAGTCGTCAATTATATTAGACCTGATGTCTGATGCCAGCTCAGAAATATCTTCTAGTGGCGGGAAGTTATCAACTGGAAAACATTCCACATTGTCTGCAATGGAACTTTCATGGTGCGAAAATATTGGCAACTCCTTGAGGAGGTCAGCCTTTTCATCCTCTACATTTCCATTGTTAGAGAGTCTGAACAGTTTTTTTATCCCGATGTGTTTCAGTCCCGAGGTGAACTGATTCACATTTGGGTTTGTATTGCAGCGCAGCATTTGTCTTATTGCCCCAAAAATGTTCTCCAGTGGGTCTTGCTGCAGGCGTCGAGTAAGTAAGAATTTAAAGTCATAGCTGTTTGAAAGCTCATCCCAGAGCATGAGGACACTCCTTATTGTAACTTGCCACCCTATGGTGGTTTGTGGCTGCCTCCTACTTTGGAACTTCCATGTTGAAATCCATGCGAGTTGTTGGTGAAGGAAATCGAGTATCTCGGATTCTCCTTTCAAAATTGCATGACGCAACTTCTGCCCCATCTTCTTGAATTGCGAGCTATTTAAACAATCAAAAAGTCTGTCCATTCTATCACAAAAATAGGCTGTAGCCATGGCTGCCTCAGGAAGCTCCTTGGCATAAACAAGGGATAGAATGGCAAGACAGACTGAGGCACTCAAGACCTGTGTGGCACGCTTTACTTTCATGTTACTGAAAGGTTTTTGAAAAATGTGCCTCTCAGTAAGTTTTGGAGCCAATCGCAACCTCATCTCATGAGTAGAACGATAAAGTTCAACAATATGGGACCATTCAATGACCTCATCCCCAATGCAAAGTTTGTGGGCTTGGAGATTGTTTCTTGTTGTTTTGATGAGGTGCGGAACATCAAAGATAAAGTAAACACGTTCGTTGTCGACTTCAAAAAATGGCTTATCAGCAGATACACCAAGTTGGTTGGCTAAGCTTACGTTTGAAGCCCCCTGATCACAGACCACGACCTTCACAGTGAAGTCAACAGTCTTAAGCTCTCGAATGAGAGAAATCAGGAGGCTCCGGATAACAGAAGACGGTGTTGAAGTGTGCCCAACAGTGTATGCGAGGGGCTGAACCCACCTCCTGGAAATTCCAGAGAGCACAACAACCAGGGCTCTATCTGCAATGTTCGAGGTTCGTTCAACACCGTCATCTGTAAATCCATGGATAATGTCGTGTGCAGGGTCGTATGTCAAGTTCTTCAAAACAATCTCATCAAAAATCAAGGTGCAGACACGATCACGTGCATTCCAAGACCGCGTTTGAGATTCGATGGAGGACATGACACCAGGTATAATACCAGGAGTCATTTTTACGTTCGACAGCCACCTACGCAGTGAACGCTGAGTGGGAAGCGTTAAATGTAACGATAGAAAACGGTATGCCTGTGGGCCATGAAAGTTCAGATGCAAAGCAAACTTCTTGAGCAACAGTGGAAACCGTTTTCCTCGTCCCTTGCGCCCTAATTTTACATGTGACAAGATAAGTCCGAAAACCTCGTCTGTCACAAACGGACGCACCATTTCAAGTGCTTCGGCAGCTGTTTGAGGCATTTGCTTCTGTTGCTTGCGCAGTCTTGATATTGTCTTTCTGTAACTGGAAACCTTTGCTTGTAGGCGTTTTATGACGTCCCTGGGCCTCCTTGAGAGCTTGGCGGAAGCAGGTGTTGAACGACCAGAGCCTGCCAAAACAATACCGAAAGCACATAAGTCAGGCTACAAAAAAATGATAAAAGTAGAACCCGACAGAAACGATACCGCCAAATACCGACCACTTACCCATGCTGCAATATGTGCCCCCTTCCCCCCCCCCCCCCCCCCCCCCCCCCCCCGCCACTTTCGAAACGTTTGCGAAATAAACAAAGCACGTATCAATGTCCAACTCCAGACTTAAAAACCCACCCACCTAACATAAATGCTCATCCGCTTCAGCTGCTTCTCCAAGCACACCAATGTAAAAGGTGAAGCTCGACACGTGCACGGGCCTCCAAAGTGGTGACTCCCCTTCCCCCCAACCTTTGGCTGTTCTGCAATTTTGCTTTCGGGCATAAGAAGCATACATCTCTCTGCGTTTTTCATGATTATCTCCAAATTGTGAGTGGGCATTTGCTCCGCATGTTCTGTTACCACTGTTTATACACAAATGGCTGCTATCAGAAAAAAAAAAAAATTAAACTAGCTTTTAGTCTTTCAGCTGCAATAATTTCACCACAAAAACTGTATTAACATAAATTGATGAATCTTTCAAATATTGAATAATCGCGTAGTCAATCACTACATTCAACAGGGTCATCCAAGATGAGAACTGTATGTAACAGGATTGGCAAATTACTACAATAAGCACAGATTACTAGGAAACCACCCCTTTTCAGAGCATTTCACGGTGCCACACTTCAAAGCTTATGTTCCCCGTCACCTAGAGCCCTGTAGTGATGTTCCAAGTTATTAAGGCCAGCACAAAAATGAAGTGACAAATAATGTCACCTAATTTGAAGCAATGTGCATACTAAATGCAGAGGTACTTAACACAATTTTGCAGTGCTTAAATCTGTAGAGAAGTCAATTTATACTCACAGGTTCCAGATGATTCAGAATAGCCAACAGACGAAGATGGAGTGCTGTGGTCCAAAAGCTGGCCAGGAGAGCTGGCCATCCCCATTTGCTCTGGAAAATGTGTCACTGTTAAATACGAATGTTTGCATAAACCCAATTTGTGTAGGAGATTTATTTTACCACAGGCCGCTATGGAATGTGACGCGCTGGTAACTTCCAGTGAAATACCACAGGGGCTTGTCGCCATCGGTTGTTCTGAAAAACGGTTGCTTGTCAGATATGAGCAGCTGTTTTAAAAGAAATGATCTCACCATGAGCAGCTGCCGAAGGTGACGTTCCACTGCCTTCCATTCGAACATCCCCGGGGCTTGGTTCCGCCATCGGCTTTTCTAAAAAGGGCTTCCTTGTCAGATATGAGCCGCTCATTTAAAATAAATAATCTCACCAGAAGCTGCTGTGGGATGCGACGTTCTGCTTCCCTCCAATGGAACGTCACAGGGACATGTCGCCACCGGTTCTTCTGACAAATGTTTGGTTGTCAGCTATGAGCAGCTGTTTTAAAAGAAATGATCTCACCATGAACAGCTGCCAAAGGTGACGTTCCGCTGCTTTCCATTGGAACATTCCCTGGGCTTGGTGCCGCCATCGGCCCTTCTGAACGACATTTGCTTGTCAGGTATGAGCCCCTGTTTTAAAAATAAATGATCTCACCACGAGCAGCTGTTGAAGGTGACATTCCACTGCCCTCCAAGGGAACATTACCGGGGCTTGGTGCCGCCAGCGGTTGTTCTGAAAAACGGTTGCTTGTCAGATATGAGCAGCTGTTTTAAAAGAAATGATCTCACCATGAGCAGCTGCCAAAGTTGACGTTCCACTGCCCTCCAATCGAACATCCCTGGGGCTTGGTTCCGCCATCGGCTTTTCTGAAAAGGGCTTCCTTGTCAGATATGAGCCGCTCATTTAAAATAAATAATCTCACCAGAAGCTGCTGTGGGATGCGACGTTCTGCTTCCCTCCAATGGAACGTCACAGGGACATGTCGCCACCGGTTCTTCTGACAAATGTTTGGTTGTCAGCTATGAGCAGCTGTTTTAAAAGAAATGATCTCACCATGAACAGCTGCCAAGGGTGACGTTCCGCTGCTTTCCATTGGAACATTCCCTGGGCTTGGTGCCGCCATCGGCCCTTCTGAAAGATGTTTGCTTGTCAGGTATGAGCCCCTGTTTTGAAATAAATGATCTCACCATGAGCAGCTGTTGAAGGCGACGTTCTGCTGCCCTCCAATCGAACATCCCCGGGGCTTGGTTCCGCTATTGGCTTTTCTGAAAAGGGCTTCCTTGTCAGATATGAGCCGCCAATTAAAAATAAATAATCTCACCATAAGCAATATTAATCAATGGCGAAACACAGGATCCGGCGGGTCTTGAAAAGGCACTTAGGAATCTCGGAATATCTTAAATTTTAACGGCCCGGTATGCTAATGTATGAGAACATAACAGCATGGGCAACTAAAGCTAACCTTGTAAACATGAGTGTCAGGAAGATGACTCAGACGGCATGAGTCCTCTTGTCGAATTGGATATGAACAGGGGAACGTTGACCTGCCTTATCTTTCATTTATATCACTATTGTATGCTACAAACCTAGGATGCCCTGTAAGAAGTCATACTGCACTGGCAGAACTGCCCTTCTTGATTGCAGGACACAAATTACTGTATTTCAATGCAGCTGACCTTGTGCTTTAAAACAATTTTCCAACAAACTGGGACGGATATTGGTTATGGGCAACAGTATGCGCAGGGACATTACAGGGATAATGTACAAAAATGCTAAATGAATTAGATAAAATATTTAAGCACAAACTAATAATAAAAACTAATTAAATCAGATTAAAACTTTGGAGACTGTCAAGCATCGTTGACAGCATGCTGGCAGCTGGCATCAGTGACGTAGAGTTGGTGCTGCCTAAAAGCAAAATATAACAGAACTCCGTACAGACTTCAAATAAAGATTATGTTACCTTGGGCTGTTACAGATGGCCTAAGCATTTGCGGCCGAACCGTAGGGATAGCCGTTTTTGTCAGCCTTGTCTTCCCAGGATCCAAAAAGTCCTTGGCTGTGAAATGCTCACTACACAGGCGATACCCCTCATAGAGCTCCTTGGCTGTCTTTCCTAGGAGCTCAGGACGTCTGGCGTACTGTAGCCATGCTTTTGACCTGCAGAACATTGTATATACCACCAAGGTTACGCATACTGTAAGGGTCAAATAAACTCCAAATATATGAGCCTCAATTGTTTTTAATGTTTCACTGCCGTTTGGTATGGCACCTCTCAGCAAAGTGTTCACGTTCTGAAGAGTTTGTTTTTCTTCTTCATGCTACTGTACAGTGCAATACAGCTAAACAAACAGATTGCATACCCACCAGGGTATGCAATCAATTTAGGCCCGAGGCAAGATAACCTTAAAATGCTGAAAGATATTGGTGTCCATAAACCAAAGTGACATGGAAGAAATCGTTTTTGCTATAGTTTGTTGCAACCTAAGGCCGAAGGGCGAGGGTAAGACGGGCCGGGGAGGAGGGAGCAGACGGAACGCTGGAGAAGAAAGGGGAAACCTCCTTCTCTCCTTAGCGTTTCGTGTTCCGTCTGCTTCCTCCTCCCCGGCCCGTCTTACCCTCGCCCTTCGTTCTTAGGTTGCAACGGACCATAGTTCTCATTTCAAAATGTTATGCTTCGATCAAATGTTGTAAGGACTGCCTTAGAATCTATACGTACCTTGGGTCACGTGGAATTCGAAAAAACTTGACATGTGGCTTCTTTGTTTTCCCATTGTTGGCACACCAGACCACGCAGCAGTAACTTCCGTAGGACATAATCTGGGCCAGCGGGGGAGGGAGAGTTTAACATCTACTGAAGCCTAGCCAATGGCGCGTTCCTTTAGTTCAACGGAAGGTAGCACAATAGCGGCTGGTGAAAAAATAAACTGATGGAGATTTAAACAATGTCACAAGATATTGCCATGACGCAATGTTACAATAAACCCATGACACGTATTAACACAGACGGGTGAAAGAAATATTGTGAAGTTTGTGAAGTTTACGCAATCTTCATGCATCATAATCGAACGCAGTGTCTAGAGTGCCATGCCACAGCACTCCAACCAAGTGTTCAAGTGACGTCTGACTGGTTTTACCCAACGTTCGAATGTCATCCTTAAGAGTAAAACAGGAATTTAAGCATAGTACAGCGGTACGGCCAAAATAAGTAAGACTAATCTACCTCTACTGTTTCTGGTAAATTGGCCGTCAATATTTTGAATTTTGCTTTCTTACATAGAAAATAATGTCAACGAACCATAGACCTAAATTTCGAGCTCCATTTGGTGATGTAGCGATGTAGTGGGAACCATGTTTGAATAGTCCTCCGTACATTCTCAGAGTGTCCGAAAGTTCCATGGATGTCCTATCCTGGATGTCCCGTGGACGTCCATAGGATATATATGCTGCTTGGGAACTTTATTAAATATCTAAATTTGATACTGCGTCTCGCAGTTTTTTCCCCCGAAATTCTATGCATGTGTTCGTCGTCGTAACTGCAGCATACTGCAGCTCGTATGGCGGTACACACAAGTCATGTAGCTCGCTTGAGCGACGTTCGCTGGTTCGCTTCTTTTGCACGTACTTTATGTGATAAATCAAAGCAGCGACGCGCCATTGAAAGAATGCATGTCAAAATATCAATATGACTCAATGGACACCTTGCCCCGAATTCGTCGCACTGCAAACGACTGTCGACCCAGCTTTAGTCAGTGAATTAACTTCAATCTATGACGGCATAAGTCCTCTCAACAGCAATCCACAGATGTCTGATGGCACTTGAACACGCATGAACAAAGCTCTGCCCGAGGGGCGTCGGACGGCAACCCAGACTCAGCAAATTCAAAAGCCAGCTTTACAACACAGTCGAGAGACAAATGAGCAAAACGACTTACCTTTTGTTTAAAAATCTAGGTCCAGGCAGCCCGACGGAAACACGAGAAGCTCAAGCCATATCAAGCCGCTCAGCTCTACAAACTCACGCCGAGCATGAGAGCACGCGGCGGTCATTCGTCACTTTGTTTCAAGCAAAGTCGACCGAACACGCTGTAGCATAAAACGGAGAAGAACGGCACGGACGGCACGGACGGTACGGCACGGACGAACGAAGCACGGACCGCACGGACGAGCAGAGGTGACGGCGTGCAAGCAGACAGGCCATGGCAGGCGCCATTCATCACGTGGTTTTTGTGACGTATTTGATTAACACTATTTAGTCGTTTTAAGTACTTTAAAAAACTCTAAAGCATAAAAATTTAGAAAATAAATACGTTTCAGAGAGAAAGCTGTAATTAATATTAACCAAATTACGGAAAAGCGCCACGTAGCGGAGGGTATGAATCCTACTATCTGGGCCGCGAATCGGCTTCAGTGTCCTCTCTTTACGTTTACTATATTACTCTATGCGCGCACGGGCTTGTCCAAACTCAGCGTTTTCTCGCCAGCGCGGTCGAGAAAACTCCCCGCTGACACAGGGCCTGTCCAATCAGGACGATTATACAATTCTATTGGCTCCAGTGCCAGCGGGTCCTCCACCAATCATAGAAAGGCCACCGAACTCGTTATTTCCCATTTCTAAAAAGAGAAACAATGCTAAACCCCTTGGGGAACTCTGCAATCGGGGCGATACTTTACTACTTTACGGAGAAAACACCCTCCACTTCGCCGCGTCAAAACAAATTAACGCCGTGTCCTTCGAAGTTAGCGAGTAAAGTGTAATGGAGTCCGAGTGGACCCAGGCCGGCGCCCCTCATCGCTAAAACCTTGCTGTAGCAGTCTCCCGACCAGACAAGCCGTCACTGGGAACGCGCCGTGACGACAAAGCCGGGGAGGGTGCCACTACCTCGCGTAGACTGGCAAGAATGTCTGTCTCCTTCCCGGGCCAAAGATTAAAAAGGGCTCAAGCCGCTCATCCCCCTATCCTCGGGGCGAGCCGTCGGGGTGCCCCCATCCGAACGGTTGAAGGTCGATTCACTCAGTTTCCAGGAAACGACAAAATTCTCAAGCGATCCCTACACACCAGATTGCATCTTCGACTGCGGTTATCAAGAGCATCAATTTGTGCTTGTAGATTTTTGGTCAACCCTTCAAAACCATCAACTCGTTTTTCTAAGTGGTCATTGCCCTTAATCAAGGTGTTCAGTTTCTTTTCAAATTCTTGCTTACTTTGAATACTGGAAAGTTGTGTTGTAGCCCTGTTCATGCTAGCAGTTGAGCTCATAAACATTGATTCCATATTGGCCATCTGTTCAGCCTTCGTAGGAAGGCCTCGATTCAATTCGGCATGACCCACCAGCAATAACAACCATACTCAAAATGCCAATTTTCTCGAAAGCCTAAGGCGTATATAAAAACAATGATGCTTACAACGTGTAAATGCCACTAGGAAAATTTTTTTTGGGTGGAGCCGGCGGGTAAAAACGAACTCTAGGATAATATTTAGAGTAAAAAACAGTACCAACCTGCATGCGAAGAAAGCACGGTGAACTCATGCTGGGATCACTGCCGGTTCCAATTCCTAAAAAAATTGGTAGCGTCGGTCGTCTTATAAAGCCACTGAGATAGTCCATTTGTTGCAGTAGGGGTGGAAGCCACAGGAACTCGGAAGGACGCCCCCCGATGCAGAATCGTCGATGTCATGGTCACGTTCGCCGCGAAGTCAATGGAGATCCACCTGCTTGATGTTATCGTTGATGGGCCACTCCCTCCAAAGCCGTCTCTACTGATAAAGCAGAGTGCCGACAGGACTGTCACATGCATGCGAAAAAAGCACGGTGAACTCGTGCTGGGATCCCTGCCGGCTCTAATCCCAATTTACGTCATGTATTTCCTAATGCGTTATTGGATATTGGTTTGTGTAACAGGCATGACTCAGTAACCTGGGATCAAATCATTTTGCTTCCTTTCAAATGGTCTCATCTTACCCTCTGCGCCATTCCGTTTTCCCTTTCGAGGTGTGCCACATTTTTATATATTTTTTGTGACGATATAATTTTGATATATTATTATTGTTTACAAAGAGGATACACATATGAGTAGACTGTGACAGAGATATTCTTTTAGCGACAAAAATCTTTGTAAACATTGAAAATGTGTCTTACACAAAATGGTACTACGCATTGCAGTACAAGACTGTATGTGCAAGTGAAAACAAACTTCTGAGATTTTGATGTGACAGTTCGATAAAAGATTTTATTGCGGGCACTTGAGGCGCTGTGGTATACAACAAAATATAAAGATTACAACATTCTCCAAGGAACATACGTTAACAGGTCATAAAATATTTTATTGCAGTTACTTGGGGCATTGTCGATTAAATTATTGTATACAATAATAATTATATAATAAAAACATCCCCTGGAATGTTAGAAAAAAAAAGTAAAGTCGTGCACACTTAGTTGTCGTCCGCCGGAGGATGTTAGGCCAGGTGCTGGGCCTCGGGCTTGGGCTTGGGCTGGGCCGGGGGCTGGGGCTTGGGCTTGGGTTGGGCCTAGGACTGGGCTTGGGTTGGGCCTAGGACTGGGCTTGAGGCTGAGGCTGACACAGAGGGCTGGATAGCAGGAGGATGACCTCTCACATGAAGGCAGCGCTTTCCTGCATGGAGAGGACACCGTCCTGGTCGTTCCGTGTGATCCTGTTCATGCTGTTCGTCTGCTGCCTTACGTTCTGCGCTAGCTGGTCCAACCGTTCCAGGAGCTGCCCCATGTCGAGCGTGATCTGAAGCATGATTTGCAGATTTACTGACATCTAACCTCTCATAGAGGTTACTAAGACTTTGCTGACACCAACTATTGGAAGCTTATGTGTGAAGTAAGCGTGTATTTAATGATTTTACTGTGCTTCAGGGATTTGTCAACACTACCTGTTCCTGGAAACAATGGTCTCTTGTATCTCGGCCTTCGTTAGCCTCGAGCAGGCGCCGTTGGTTGGCCACGGCCGAAAAGGCCATCTCATTCCGCCGCTCCTGTTGAGAGACTCGAGGGACTCGACGAGGCAGCCTTGGTTGAACCCTGGCTTGCTTTGCTCGGGGCTGTGGCATGTCTGCAGGATTACATAGTTTAGATCAGTTATAAGTGTGGTCATGTTCATGTTGCTGACGGATTTAGTGCCCATTAGTCTATCAAAGTATCCTACGCATAAAGGTAGAGGCCTCCAGCCGGATGCAGCCGTAGCTTCCACCATGGTACGGCGAAACTAGCGCCGCTTGGCGCTGCGGCAGCCTCGCGAACTAGGTCTGGGTTGTAAAGTACTTGCAGATGGCGCCACGGCGCCACTAAAGCGAACGGCTATCACCATCATCAGCCTGCTCACTTTTCTCCCCTTTTGCCCTCCCCCCTCTCCTGTCTTTTTTTTTTCCTTTTTATCGGTCGTTCCTTTTTTTTCTTTTTTTTGCATGCGTGTGTTTTATTGTAGGACACAGCGCGAAAGTCAGACGGGGACGAAGAAGAAACACACGGGACGATCGCTCGTCCCGTGTGTTTCTCCTTCGTCCCCGTCTGTTTTTTGCGCTGTTTCCTACGATGAATTCCCAACTCGCCCAACTATCCATTCTTCTGCGTGTGTTTATCGCGCGTTCGTGTACGATGATGGGTGGTGATGCATGTTGAGATTTAGCATACGGCGCGCGAGCGTGCGCCTGTTTAAAGCACCGCTTTTTCACTCTGTAAACACGGACGTCGCTTGTTGCGGACATCTGTGTTTGCTGTATTTTTATCGATGCCTAACAACAAGCACACTGCGCACAGTCTCGCCAAGGAAACGTCAAAAAACCGGAAGATTGGATCAGACGCATTTTATTTGAACTTATTTCACGTTCTAAGAATACCCAGGTATTTACAGCATTTAGAGGAAATTTACGGGAATACATAAACAATGAATAATTCACCTTTATGGTGAGATCAAGAGCATAGATATATAAACATGTAACATGTGACATCATACACAAATAATTGCGTTCACTGACATCTCGCCATCTTTCAATTATTATTTACATATTTTACACTTTTACTTAATTGCTGCATAAGTCTTAAACAAGCAGTTTTCACAAATAGCACATCTAATATATTTAAGCTGAAACCCACGACATTCAATAAAACATTTACAAGACGATATAAATTACGAAAAAGGATCCCAAAACTCCAGTGCAGTGGTGCACAGCATTCGAAAGTTTTTTTGTTTTTTTTTATACAATGCATGTGTCCCAATGAATAAGGAACCTTTAAAGGACCATATAAAATATACAGGGAAGTATCTACAGGATTTTAAGTAACGAATATACACACCATGCAGGTTGCACACACCGAATAAAAAAATTCACACCTCGAGCAAGATGCAAACAAGCCGTAACAAAATTCCCGTAGCAAAAGAAAAAAAGAAAGGGCAATTAAGCCGATAATTGTTTTCGCTTCCTTTGTTCAGGTTTTTTAGGGGCGTGAAGCGTGAGGAGCTCTCGATTCAAGTCTCGAATGTGCCAGCGCAAGCGCACATTCCCATAGAGACTGAGGAAGTGCACTGCGCGAGCCCTGGAGCAAAATTGATGTTCTAAATGGGACTCTAGGACATGTACAAGGCGCTCGACAACCTTTGGCATGTGAATGTGGTCCTGATTGTGCTTTAAAGAAAGGTGTTAAAGAGCCTTGAAATAATCGAAGAACGAATTAAAAGGAGTGGAGAATGAACCAAACATCGAGCATGGCACGTTTGCCTCAAGCAAAGAATGAAATTGAATTTCTGATGTGAGGTTTTCACTTGAAGCCTTCAAAAAGTTTGGGCAAAGCTGTCACGAGCTCTTCTATAGGAATGACTGAACCAAGTACCCGACAAAGTGATAAAGGACATTTTCTTCCACAATGGTAAAATTTGGCTCATCAGGGGGCAACTCAAGTTCGCCACTGTCAATGACAAGTAATGGTTCTGGCTGGTGACTGGCTGCAGTGGATGCAGGGAAACGCCTCAATTCGACTAGTAGTGCGGAAGTGTCTGATTCACAGTTTCCTCTACTGGAAAGCTGAAACATCTTTCCGAGGAAAATGTGCTTCAGGCCTTCCACACACTGAAATGAATTGGGCGTCTCATTGCATCCATGCTGCTGTCTGATCATGCCGAACATTTTCTCCAGCGGATCCTG